AAGAAGGATTAAGAAATGTTTACCATGTGGTGACACGGTTTGCTTTACAGGAAGGCAGTGAAAGAGAATTACTACAGCAGCAACTCCAGGAGGCCAATCGAAGAGCTCAAGAATACCGACACCAGCTCCTAAAGAAAGAGCAGGAGGCAGAACAGTACCGCCTTAAGCTAGAGGCTATGGCCCAACACCAGCCTAATGGAGTTGATTTCACTGTGGTTGAAGAGATAGCTGAAGTGGACACTGTAGTAGTAACAGAGGGGGAGGTGGAAGAAAGAGAAACAGAAGTGAGGAGGTCAGGAAGCACCACAGAAAACAACATTGGAGTTTCCATAGAAACTGTTTCTTCTTAACATGCAGGGGCCACAACTTGCATTGAGTATATCTTGTTCCTTTTAAGAAGAAAATACAAAGACAAACGAATAAAAATTAAGAATGGAGCTGGCTTCCGGTGGCTCACACCTGTAATCCTAGCTACTCAGGAGGCTGAGATCTGAGAATTGTGGTTCAAAGCCAGCCCGGGCAGGAAAGTCCATGAAACTCTCCAATAAACCATCAGAAAACCTGAAGTAGCTCTGTGGCTCTAGTGGTAGAGCGTTAGCCTTGAGCTGAAGAGCTTAGGGACAGCTCCCAGGCTCAGTTCAAGCCCCTCGACCGACAAAAATAATAACAATAATTAAGAATGCTTGACGCCAGTGGCTCACACCTGTAATCCTAGGTACTCAGGAGGCTGAAATCTGAGGATTGTGATTCGAAGCCAGCCTGGGCAGGAAACGCTGTGAGACTCTTATCTCCAATTAACCACCAGAAAACCAGCAGTGACACTGTGGCTCAAGTAATAGAACACTAGCCTTGAGCTGAAGAGCTGAGGGACAGCACCCAGGCCCAGAGTGCAAGTCCCACGACTGACCAAAAAAAGAAAAAGAACATATGTAAGAAGAAAACTATAGCAGGATACAGTGGTTGGGCCCAGAAAGGCTCTGTATGCAACTGGAAAATTCAAAGCCAAGCCATACTTAGGAAACACTTCTAAGGGACTCAACTTATTAGGACCAAATTTCTCAGCTTACGTAAATGCTTTAAGCATAGAAGCAAATGAGTGCTGAATGTTGTAAGTTGATTATTTTTATAAATAACTGACTTTATATAAAAAGGTTTAAAAATAATACTTCTAATATACACACCAAGAGCCTTTAATAATTGTGACTGAAAATTTCAAGTTACCTAATGCCTTTTGCCTTATATTTTTGGAACTGATTAGCAGGGAGATTAGAAGCAAACTTTGGGGAAATAAAAAGGAATGTATTCTACTTCTAAAGAATGAGGCACTCTCAACTATCCTGAGGTAATTTTACCAAAAATAAATTATGAGCTTGGAATGGTGGTATACATCAATAATCCCAGCACTCAGGAGACTTAGGTAGTAGGCCAGCCAGGACTACATAACTAAGCTCTGCCTCCATTATGTGTCCATAGCTCAGATATCAGTTTAAAAAGTGGAAATATTGCTGGAGATGTAATTCAGTGGTAGAATGGGTACCTAGTATGGATAAAGCTGGGTTCTATTTCTAGCAACATATACATAATTTTTTTAAAAAAATAGCTGAGTGAGAGTGGCTCTTGCCTATAATTCTAATTACTTGGGAGGCTGAGACTTAAAGGGTTGACGTTTGAAGCCAGACCTGGCAGAAAAGCACAGCACACAGTCTCCAGTTAGCCAGCAAAATACCAGACTGGAGGTTTAATAGAGGACCAGCTGTGAGCAAGAAAGCCCTGCAAGAACATGAGGCCATAAGTTCAGGCCCCAGTACTGGCACAAAGAAGAAAAAAAAATCTGAAATCAAAAAATTTAAAACTATAAAGAACACTTGTTTATGTGGGAGAAGTGTTGTTTATAAAACCCAAGTCCTCTGTCTATAGTTTCACAGTGCTGGAAAACGGCCAACAAGAGGCTTATTGGGCTGTGAAACTAGTCTTGATATAAAAACTTAACGTTGACTGTATTTTAGAAAATTGTAATCAGGAGGATAGTCTGAACAACTTGTTTCCAGACATTTATTTATGTAAAATTGAACTCAAACTCTTTAATTTTAGAAATTTTATTGAATCTCCTGTCATTTAGGATACATGGACTTTTCTATGGCCCTGTATCTTACATGAAAAAAAAAGTCATGGAGTAGAGATGATGAATGCTGGTGACTATCATTTTCATTTCCATTTGATTTTGAGTGAGTAAATCACTCTGCTTCTCTAAGCTTGGGCCTGATACAGAGCTTTGTGCCTTATCAGTATGTATGACCTGGGGAATAGCGACGACTATCCGTGTGATAAAATGCGAAACCAGTGTCTGACCCCTTTGTCTACCTTCCTCCTTTTTCTCCCACTGCCTACTCCATCTGCCCAGAGGCTTTGGTTAAGTGGTTTCATTGCTCAGTTTTCTTTGTATGTCAGCATGAGGGTTTAAAAAAGAAAGAAAGAGAAAGGGATAGAGAGAGAAAAGTTGTGAAGAGGTTACATTGAATAGGTTATTGCCTTTGAAATCCAGCCCTCATCATTTTAGACTTGCTTGCTTGTTTGTAAATGAGAAGAAACTTGAGAGAAACTTTTTTTGGGGGGTGGGGGCAGTCTTGGGGCTTGAACTCAGGGCCTGGCACTGTCCCTAGTTTCTTTTGCTCAAGGCTAGTAATCTACCACTTGAGCCACAGCACCACTTCCAGGGCTTCATGCATGCTATGTGAGCACTTACCACTAATCCACAGTCCCAGCCCCCAAGTAAACATTTGAATGATTGTTTAGAATATGGTTTTCTTAATTACAGGTCATGGGGAAAACATTGCTTTTTTTTTTTTTGTGCCAATCCTAGGACCTGAACTCAGGGCTTGGACCCTGTTTTGAGCTTTTTTTTTTCTTTTTTGGGTCCGGTCGTGGGGCTTGAACTCTGGGCCTGGGCGCTGTCCCTCAGCTCTTCAGCTCAAGGCTAGCCTCTACCACTTGAGCCACAGCGCCACTTCCGGCTTTTTTATTTTTGCTTATGTGGTTCTGAGGAATCAAACCCAGGGCCTCAGGCATGCAAGGCAAGCACTCTACCACTGAGCCACCTTCCCAGCCCCTTGAGCTTTTTTTTTTTTTTTTTTTTTTACTCAAGGCTAGCACTCTACCATCTGAGCCACAGCTCTACTTCAGGCTTTTTTGGTGGTTAATTGGAGCCCAAGCAGGCTTTTAACTGTGATCCTCAGATCTCAGCCTCCTGAGAAGCTGGGATTACAGGCATGAGCCACCAGCACCAATCAAACACACGGGAAAAGAATTTGACAAGTGGGAAGTGGCACTGTAGCCCAAGTGGTAGAGCGCTAGCCTTGAGCTGAAGAGCTGAGGGACAGCGCTCAGGTCCAGAGTTCAAGCCCCACGACCGACCTAAAAAAAAAAAAAAAAAAGAATTTGACAAGTTAACTTAATTCTCTTTACCTTGATTCGTGAAGTAATTTGTTGTAGTGTTTCAAGTTGCAGAATCATTTTGGGCTCAAAATACACTGAAAATATAATTCCCAAAACCAAATTTAGCAAACAGAATTGGCTATTAGAGGCATTTAGAGAAAGGATTGGTTTTGAAACTAATCTTGGCTACTAGCCACCTAAGCTAGGTTTTCTCTGTGGTTTTGAGTACCTAGCACTTCCAAAATGCATCGATAAGAGAAAAAGTGAAATTGTATCTGCTATCAAATTATCCTGTTCCCATTTGAAGTGCTTTTTTTTTTCTTCTGTGTCCCTTTGGAAATCAAGTGCTAATAATTGGGCTGTTATGTATGGCATTTCAAACCTTAGCTTAACTACAAGGACCAAGAATCATTTTACATGTTAGTTGTTTTTGTTCTTGTGTACATGTTGGTTTTACTCCTTCTCCACCATTAAGGGAGAGTAGAGGTTAACCCAACACATCCAAATCCACCCACCTCATTCTGTGGACTACTTATTGGGGATGGTGAGTATCCATCTAACGCTCTTTTTCCTGCATAAAGAGTCCCCACCTATAAGGAGAATTGTAAAAGATATGTTTGCACTAAAAAAAAAAAAAACCTGTAATACAGGTCAAGTCATTTTTGACAATAGAGTAAGAAAGAAGTTTGTTAGAGAAAAGGTAGGGAAGGAGAGAATGGAAATGTTTGAAAGAGGTGCACAGGAATAAAGATATCATTGTTATTTATTTGGAATAGGCTGTTTAACATCCCAGAGAAGGGACATAGGATTTGATCTCCAGTTATATTACCATGAAGAGGGGGGTGGGTCAGGATGCCTTCAAGTAGTTAGAAATTAAATATTGAAGACTAGAGGTATGGCTCAAATGGTAGAGGGCTAACCTGGAACAAAAAATTTGCTGAGTAAGAGTGCAAGACCCTGAGTTCAGGCCCCAGTAACACATGTACGCACACGCAGGCACACACACACACACACACACAGAAGAAAAAAATTAAATACTGAAGGGTCAGACCATTAATCCTAGCATTCAGGAGGCTGAGGTTGGAGACCAGCCTGGACTACATAGAAATATTGTCTGAAAATAAAAGATAAATTTGAAAGGAGTGGGGCGGGGGCGGGGACGGGGAAAGCTGGGTACAGGTGGCTCATGTCTGTAATCCTAGTAACTACTCTGGAGGCTGAGATCTGAGAACCACAAGTTGAATCCAACCCAGACAGAAGGATCCAGTTAACCAGCAGAAAGCCAGAAGAGCTGCCAGAAGTGGAGCTGTGACTCAGGTTTGGTAGAGCGCTGGAGTGAAAAAGCTAGAAGACAGCACTGAGGCCCTCAGTTCAAGCCTCAGTTACCAGCATAAAAAAGTAAATAGCGAACAAACTAGCGCAATACCATTTTACGACTTTACATAATTGAATCAGTCATGGAAGTCATTAAGATGTGGCTTAATTCTTTCAGTTTAGAAGATTCCAGCTGTTTTTTGTTTTGTGTTTTGTTTTGTTTTTTTGTCAGTTATAAGGCTTGAACTTAAGGTCTGGGCAATGTCCTTAAGCTTTTTACTTCAAGTCTAGAGCTCTACCATTTGGAGCCACAGTGCCATTTCCAGTTTTCTGATAGTTAATAACCTTTCCCACCCAGGCTGCCTTTGAATCACAATCCTCAGATCTCAGCCTCCTAAGTAGTTAGGAGCCACCAGCACCTGGTGATACTTTTTTTTTTGGGGGGGGGTCCGTCATGGGGCCTGAACTCTGGGCTTGGGCACTGTCCATCATCTCTTCAGTTCAAGGCTAGTGCTCAGGCTGGGAAGGTGGCTCAGTGGTAGAGCGCTTGCATGCATGAGGCCCTGGGTTCGATTCCTCAGCACCACGTAAGCAAAAAAAAAAAAAAAGCCAGAAATGGCTCTGTGGCTCAAGTGGTAGAGCGCTAGCCTTGAGCTGAAGAGCTGAGGGACAGTACCCAGGACCAGACCCAAAAAAAAAAAGGCTAGCGT